AAATATGCTGATAAATAACTGAGTTATGACAATTTGAAAATTTTTCCTATGTAATTCAGTAAATAAATTGGTACCATACTAATTGAAAAAAATTAATTTAAATTACTTTTAGCTGGAATTTTGCAACAAAATATAGATTTCTTTGTGCAGAAATAAATACACCTTCACAAATAGTTGTATCGGGGTGAGGGGGGGGGGGGGGGGGGGAGGGAGTTAACCTGTTCTTAACAACTCCGACCTCCCAATCCATTCGCCCCCACACCTCTTCATTTTTTTCTAAGCCACAGTTTTATCGCTCGACAAAGGTATTAAATGCCCTACCACTATCGGCAAGAAGTAAACGAAAAAAAAATGCTACAGTGAACATTTTCATCAACACATTTCAGGCATATCTCGGTACTTCGTTTTTGTAATCAATTCCACTAATGATATTTCCACTATGCTGTTTCGTCAGATATCACACATTCTCTCTCTCTTGTGCTGCCTCTCTGCCTGTTCTTTGCCTAATCTTTCCACTCATCGTGATGTTCTCGAATGACTCTCTACTCGTTACAACACCCAAGAACACAGAGTGCCTCTTTCTTATGGTTGTATATATATTTCTAATGTTATTAGCCATTTCCAGGTTAACTTTGTTACTCTGTCAATGTAACCATAGCCTTTAAGTTCTTCTTAATTTGTTCGTGACATTCCAGGATTCACAGCCATACTGGTTTAGCATAGCGTCAGACGCTTTTGCTTATGTTTAATGAGAAAGAACGGTAGCTTCAAATACGTTTAATCTTTTTTAAATAACATCTTCGCCTGATATATCCTCCTCTTATTCTCAATATATAAATGTGTGCGTGTGTGTGAATGTGTGCGTGTTTACGAAGCATGTTATTGACGGAATGACCTCTCACAGCTATTCGAGCAACATAAAGGTAGGTAGGTAGCTGTACCCAACCAGGACATAACACAAAGAGAAAAATACCCGGTGACACAAAGTGCCATCATGCGGATGATGATCACCCGCAGGAAGCTCCCAGAAACCCCTTTCAACCGCTGGGCCATATCTATTAGCTACGCCATATCTAGGCCCCCGCTATATTCAGGGCTCCCGGCAAAAGCCAGTGTGGAGATTCAAACAAAAAATTGCATCCCACGTGGGGACGACTAAGAATAACAACATAAAAACGTGTCTCAGAAAACAAAACAGGAAAACGTCAATCAAAGCATTTGAATGACCAAATCCTAAATTTCAGAGATTACATTTTCAATGTAAAATAAAAATAAAGAAATGTACAAAGTGACGTGGCTGACACAACATTAACGTTATAAATTATCTTGACGAATCCAGGACATATGCAGACATGTGCAACATCTCATGTCGGCCGGTAAAACAAACTTACCTGTTTCTTGCGAAACCTGTGTGATCATTTGAGACCGGAGTTTGATAAATGTGATATTGTTGTTTCCGCTCTGCCCAAAGTAAAAATGTCGGCGTGGTTTTCTAGATTAGGCTGCAGACTCAGGTAGAAACGTTGAAGACATAATATCGTAAAGGTTAAAGTATATAGTGTGAGTCTGTGTGTGTGTAAGAGAGAGATAGAGAGAGAGAGGGGTATAACTTCACATTCCATCATGAGAATAGAGGTGGAGGCAGTGACAGCAAGTTTCCGATGGCTAGGAAGCAGTCTGGCCTTTCAAGCTTAAATATTACAGACTTGCAACAGTTCTTCAGGATCAGAACCAGGGTCCACTTGCAGAACATCTCGTGTCGTGATTAAACTCAGATCGGGAACGTGTACGAACTGCAGACAGGTCGAATCAAGGCAAGGAAAAAGATCCTTTCTCACACCTGCAGCCTATTGGGCATGTATAGCTAAACCTATGTTTTATAGACCAATCAGCACTTCCTTGGTGATGTGGTCAACATGATGCCGGCCGCCTTTACTTCCCAGGACTTCACTTGATATACGTTTAAAGCTGGGTCAACCAGTAAGCCAAAGTCATTTATGAAAAAAAAAATATGCCACTCTCAGGACTTGAACCCACAACATTCCAGTCCGCAGGCGAGCGTGTTTGGTCAAATGCCTGCCCTCAGACTGGCCTTTCTGCATTAACAACATCTGGATGCAAATTCAGGGATCCTTGAACCAGCTGTCACCGGCATATGTCTGTATTTGGCCTCCGTTGTTCAGTTACTGCAGACAACGAGGCGTGTCGTGTCCAGAGCTAGGAAGTTTCATACTATCTGAAACATTTTCGGCGGGTGAAAAGCTGGTCTCCTGATTGACCGAGCCATATGCAATAAAAAGCCTGTGCAAAAAAACTTCAGTGCATCCGCCCTTAAATACAACTGCTATCTTCTAGACAAGTGGTCCTCATATCATTTCAAGCATATCATTGTTATATTTTGTTTTGTCATTCAGACATAAAAATAACAATAATACTAGTTATTATTACTGTGGTAATAAATATGGCGTCGGGAGTCGCCGTGACGTAGTTGATAGACGCTCGCCTGCGGATCAGAAGGTCGTGAGTTCGCTCCCTGGTGGAGCCAGACTTAAAAAAAAAAATTACCTTGACTCCTGGGACGACCCAGCCTTCAGTGGGTACCGGGTGGAGTCCTGCGAAGTAAAGGCGGTCGGCATGATTCTGACCACATCACCCATCTTGTGCTGATTGGTCTATAAAAATGTAGGTCTAGCCCTATATGCCCTATGATCCTACAGGCGTGGAAAAAGGACCTAAACTTAAAAAAAAAATTAAATATGGATCACGCTCCCTGAGCCACCTACCCCTAGAAAATTATGAAGGGTCTGAGCACTCCCACCCTGTCCCCGATGATTTCTTTGGAGCTGTGCCCCCTGTGCCCCTTGTTATGCGTTTAGGGCATCCAGTTTATGTACTAAATACCTCCAGTTTTCTGCTCACGGTTTGTTAGACTGATTAATGTTCATTCTAAATGTTACCGATTTCAGATCTGTCTTCCTGTGCGGGTTTAATTTATTGTGATTTCGCAACTTTGACCATTAAACTTTTAAGAGCTGCGTTTCAAATGTCAAATTAATGTCACTGGACGTTCCACACCATTACCTTTATTATATTGTTGTGTGACATGAGATTGCGATCCGCTGCCATTCCACTCATCTCCGAGTATTTAATGGATAATCTGGGTATGTTCTTGTTTGAGATATGGGCGGCTGGGTCATCCATTGGCTGGTCGTTAGACGACTTTTGTCGCCGGTCAGGATGGTATTCGGGTATGTCTCCACTGACCGAAATCACCACTGCAGGAGTCTTTCTCAGGGTTCTTGATGACGTGCAATGCTAAGCCGTTTTATATGGGCCTAGTCACAACTATAACCTAAAGCTCCCCCTTCAATAATGCTAGTTAAAGGTGACGATGTGTTTTCCCCGAGCAAAGCACTTACCGCCTCTTCTAGTTTGAGTGTCAGTTCAAGGTTGTAGAGACGTATTGACTATGATGAAGATCAGTTAATAGGTCGACTCTTTAAACCAGTCACCTTGTCCTCATTCCTTAGCATAATCTGTGACTCTGTCGTAATCATATGTGTCTGCAGCCGGTTCTCAAGCCAGCAGAAAATTTCTCTGACTGCCTCCACCTCCATTGGCAAACAAGAAGCTATATAGCATATGTCAGGTTTTGTTGCGATAGATGTTGTCTATTCACATTTGTGAGGAGTCCCAAGCAACTCTTCTACCACAACTTTCTTACCGGCACAGGACTGTAGATTACCCTGGCTGATGTGACAGTTAGGGGTGCCATAATTGTAACTTGCGAAGGGGTATCTGGGATTGTTGGTCTGCCATCAGCAAAAAGATTCTTCACTCTCACGGTGTCAGAACTTCAGGTCCTGTTGGTCTGCTATCTAAGCTGAGATCTTTTGATGCTTTTGCTTGAAGCTTTGCTGGGGGGGGGGGGGGGGGGGGGGGGGGGGGTCGTCGCGTTCACTAGTATGCCCGAAGGGGGAGCTTTAGGTTATAACTCTGACTAGATTATGTGCGCCATTTAAAATGCCTTTGCATTGCACGCCACCAAAAGCCATGAAAAAGACTGCTGCAGTAGTAATGTGATCAAAGGATACAGACCAAAGCCTCGAGGCATGGCATCCGCCTCGAGTGCTGGAGTTCACGGGTTCAGGCAATGGTGATGACAGGGATTTTTTCAAGTGGACTTCTAGTAATTTCCGCTGGTCTCTGGGTAGTATGATCGGACTCCTGTGTGTATTCTTGCGCACGTTAAAAAAAATCTATTGGCAGTTAAAAATCGAAAATAATAGCCTAACGGCGCAGCCCGAGCAAAGGCTTGTGTTAAAAATCTATCCAAGTATTTCATATCCTTCTCAGTGCTACGGAGTTGGTGCACTGCGCTGAGATACCTCGGACTTTGGCTTGAGTTAGAAGTAGCAGGGAGCACTTATGGGCTAACCCCCCCCCCCCCCCCTTCCTTGTGTCCTGATGGTAATCCGTTGTATAAATAGAAACTGTCCCGACAAACAAAGAAATCATTTGCCGGCGAGGCAATGACGACGCGATCGCTCAGGTGAGGTCTTTTGATCTCAAGTGTTGAACGTTCAAGGTAGTGACAATGGGGCACACAGTCACGCTGCCTCCCAACAAAGAGCTATCTGTTTGGGTAATCATCCCAACTGGCCATTGTATTCCAGTTATAACCTGGATTTTCTTAATGGGCTGATATCGATGGTGCAACTTTGTGTGTAGCATATTGATCACAGCTTCTCTCGGTTTGTGTTCCAGAGCACTATTGTGGGTAAAGTAGAATAGACTCACTGATGCCCAGCAAGCATGTCGTACAAGTCAACTAATTAAACTTGTTTCTTTCGAAGTCTTAGTGCAAACGACTGAAATGCCTGAAACCAATGGTTTCCATACAGATAAGCCAGCTGTGTAAAAAAAAAATGATGTGCCTACAAGAATAAGGCCAGGAAGTTGACGAACAACCAGAAAGGCCCGCCATCGGTTCCAGAAAG